CAATAAGAGCTAGACATTAGGGATCTCTCCTTTAGTGTATAGTTTTTCTATTTACAATTTTACAAAAGAACTAACATTCCTTGGTGGCAAAACTTTTGAAAATTTGGCAAGGCTTTCTGCTGCAGGATCTAAAAAAAAAAAAAATTAAAAAAAAACCCAACCCAACCACACCACAAACTGGGGATGATGCTAGTTGAGTGTTTCTCGTTTTGACATGTCCATCAGGTCGCTACCTAGCTGTGTTTTGTAGAGAGTGCCTCTTCCTTTAATATGCTGCATATAGAGGCCAGCGTTGTTGCACACTTTGTCAGTAATAATAGACGCCCTGCAGCTGGCTCCCTGGCAAGCATTTCGTTTTGAACCTAACAGGCGTACTCTGGGGCCGATGACTCAATTTCTCTAGGTACCTCAAGAAGAAAAACCTGAACATGCTGCATTTTGTTCCTTTAGCTCTCACATACACCATTTTGGTTTGCTTTTATTATTTAGTGTATGCTTTTTGGACCCCAATAGACTATTGAAATTTTACAGTTAATCTTGTAGGAATATAGTATCCTTTTTTTCCCTCCTTCATTTTCCTTTTCTTTTTTTATTTTTTAAATTTTTATCTTTTAATTTAGTCATAAAATCTGGCTTAAAGGTTGCCCTACACTAGAATACCACCTCACCCGACAGACTGAGGCAGGGGACACTGCGCCTGTCAGCGGACAGTGACTTTCCAGTCCTTTGTGTTCTTGCTGCTCTCAGAATTGTATTCTCTGTATCACCAAGAGGTTGGGTGGCTTAACTGTCTCAAGTTCAGACTGTAGCGAGGTAACGGCATCTTCATTTTCAACGTAGACCTCACAGAATTGCCCTCTGGAGTTACTAGCATGATTATGAAGGTGCCCTGAGAGCAGACAGCCCTGGAGAGCCCATGTTCCTCTCCATTGCCCAGCCCTCGCCCCCCTGCACAGAGGGGCGGTGGTCCTGATTGATGAATGAGAAACTGGCAAAGCTCAATTGAGGCTGAGACACTGAGCATCTATTGTCATGTAAGCTTAGCTGGGTCCTTTCAAGTTCGTTCTACAGCTTGCTAGGTTAAGTAGTTTGCACTATTTTTGCAATAAATTCATGGAAGCCCTAACAGTTACCTTGTTTTGTTTCTTACTGTGTGTATATAAACTGATACTAAAGGTTTGGCATAGTGTTTTTCACCTCCTTACATAACCCGTAACATGCAAAGAATGCTGTAAATCTGATAAAATATGATGTGAATGATATTTTATAAAGTTATTTTGTATGGTGTCAATTTTGTTTTGCCTCATAGTATGTCAGCAAAAAGCAAAAATAAAATTCCTCATATTTACAGCTGCCTCTCCACGGCTGTCTCATTATTTGCTCGTTTCTCCAGTCTCTCCTGCCTGCAGGGGTTAAAACGGAAGGTGTCCAGAGTGGGTACTTGCCTGCAGTGCAGGGCAGCGCCGTGTGTCTCTGTAGACACTGGCCTGTCCCTTGTGTCCTGGACACAACCATCAGAGAACAGAGGGTCTAGTGGGTTAGAGCACTGGAATGAATGAGACCAGGTTGAGCGATGCAGAGGTGGTGTGGAGCATGACGCCAGCATTTCCCCTGCAGAGAAAGGATGAGGAGGAATGTGGAAAGCCTGGGGCCCCGCTGCCTGGCAGGACTCTGCGCCCCCAAACAGCTCTGAGTCCTGGCAGTGCTAACAGGTGGGGAGGAGGTGGTGCTGGGAAGGAGCAGGGCTGCCAGTCACCGAGGTACACATGGTCGCTACAGCCAGCCAGCGTTTGTCCTCTGGTTTCGGAAATAAGACTGCTCACTGCCAGGAGCCCTGGTGGTGCTATGGCTAAAGACCTCAGCTGCCAACTGAAAGGTTAGCAGTTTGAGCTCACCAGGCACTCGTGAGGAGAGACTAGCGATTTACTTCTCCAAATCTAGCCACCTGGGACATCCTATGCGACAGATGGACTCTGTGCCAATGGAGATCCACATACGTGAGAAAGAATGGTGACATTCTCTTTTACAGTTCCATTTGTAGTCTTCAGGGGCTGTGAGAGTCCCATCTTCTGTGGAGTGGTCAGTGGATTTGAACTGCCTGCTTTTAGGTTGGCAGCATAACTCCTTACCAACCACAAAGCCACCAGGGCTCCCTATTTTACTGACTGTTGTTAGGGCTTATCAAGAAAAGTACAAGTCATAGCAACACTGTGAACAACAACAGATCTGAACCGTCCTATTCTCCGCCACCCTTTATCACCCCAGCATACTTGAGTCTTGCTGCAGTCTGTCAATCCAGCTTGTTGAGTTTATTTACGATACTGAGATGTGATTTTTTTTTAAATACTAGAGCACCCTACTTTAACATTTTATGTATCTTATGTATGTGCATAAACTACATATAAAATATTGGACAGCATACTGGAACTTCTGGTTACAAAAAGCACAGAACACCTTTGTTGCCCACTGGCCCTATGTAGAGTAAGGGTCCTAGCCAGGGCCTTCGACTGGACATGCCACCAGTGTAGACGCTCCAAGCCAGCCATCCTTGCTTTAACACCGTCTGGGTAACCTGTCACTTCATTGAGCTTACTAGGCACAAGCAATTCAGGATGTAGCTGGAAAGATTTAAAAGCAGCGCATGCTACACATCCTGTGAATTAGCAAAGAAGAAACAGATCCCTAGCTGAGGGTGGACAGTGAATGGATGCTTCTGTTCCGTTCAGGAAGAGCAGCCCACCAGGGAGAGGAAGCAGGGGAAGCCAAAGGATAGCAAAGACAGATCTGGTCTTTAAGATAAAGTTGGGAGTTGGGCCCATGGGTCCTCAGGAGTCCCTGGTCCAGATTTTAATCCCAACCCACTGCTGTCTAGCTGAGCCCTGAGCTCGCGCAAAACCTCAGCTCCCATTCCCTTTGTGAAAGGTGGGAACTGGCTTTGCAGGTGGTGAGGTAAATAAAACAGTGCACAGAGGGCAGCAGCCATCTCAGTCCTCAGATCACCTCAGAGCATTTGGCACAGGGAATGTTCAGGAGGGCGAGAAGACCTGTGAGGAGATGCCGTCACCAAGCTACTGTTGGTGGAGGAAGAAGGGTAAGGGCTCGCAAAATCACTGCCTCAGAAGAAGCTGCACTGTTATGCCAGAGGTACGCAGTTCAAATCCACCAGTTGCTCTGCTGGAGGAGGGATAATCTCCTTTTCTGTACCAGTCAGATCTGATTTGATGGTACACACACACAAAATAATAAAATTTAAAAAAACAGAAAAAAAGCTTAGGGTGGCTCAGGTACTTCAGCTAGTTACACACACGCACAACCAGTGAGGGATTTCTTAACAGCATTACACCGCTAAGCACAGACACCCAGGCCAACAGCATTTAGGAGATCTGGACAGACTGGCCTGGTGACCCTGAGTTGCTACTATATTGGGAAGACTGGAAGGCAGTATCTCCAAGACACGGATCTATTAAGGGCTTGTATTCAAAATACACTCAACTCAAAGCTCAACACCACAGCCAATTAAAAACGAGTGACATATATGAGCACTAAAAAAAAGGCAGAGTGCTGGGGATGGGACAGAAGGGCACAGCCACCTGGAGAAGTTCAGCAGTTCTTGTCAAACATCCGATGTTGCTCACAGGTAGTCGACCTGAGTGAAGTGAAATCCTACATTCACACACCACACCCTGGGAATTAACCATTGACCAGAGGACAGAAGACCAGTCTGTGTGCACACGAGGGGCCCTCTTCACAGTCGGCCTGCCCGCTACTCTACGTGGCTGAGCTCAGGCTTGTTAACACCGAGGGTAAAGCCAAACGCAAAGGCTGCCGAGCGTGATCCTCCGCACACCTTCTGGACAAGGCAGAGGCCCCTCAGTAACCTCAGGGCTGCAAGCCAAACCCAGCCCGTGGGGGTTTGTGCAGCCTGGGAGCCAACAACAGTTATATATTTCTAAATGGGTGAAGAAAAATCAGAATATTTTCATGACATGAAAATGACACCAAGATCCGATTTTGGCATCCACAGCAGTTCTATGAGAACACAGCCACCCGCATTCCTTCGTGAGTCATCCTGGCTGCTTTCCGATCCTGAGGGCAGAGGTGAGAGCATAGAGCAGGCATCCTACAAAGCCTGGAGCGCCCACTATTTGGCCCCTTGCAAAGAATGTTTGCCAAGTGCTGCTGAAGGGCAGGGCCAGGCAGGTATGATCATAAAGGGTAACGCAGGGGCACTTGGGGGGAGGATGCAGCAGTTGTGTACTGACAGCAGAAGGGAGGCACTCGGTGTCGGAGCAGGTTACACTGTTCATTAGGTCGTGCTTAGGCCACAGTGAGGCACAGGCAGCTCTATGCAGTTGAGATCTTCCTCAAGGTCAGAGCTTTACAGATGCTGGTTTCTACTTCTTGCACAGTCCCAGGCATCATACACAGCACAGCAAGGGGCTCACAAACAACTTTTGTAAAATACTTTACTGTAAAAACAATACATTGATTGTACATCTTATTACAATAGAAGAATAATGTATTTGGATAAAGGAAAACAGGACTTTGAAATACAAAAATTCATATGTAACATACTACCCATAAACTACATATTTAGCCAAAATGAAATCTAGTTGCTTTCAAGACCTAACCCTAACTTAAAATATACACTGAGTAGAGATAGCTGCTTTTAGAGACTCTCAGAGTCTCTGTAAACAAAGATGTTGGGCAGTTTTGTTTACCTCTGCAGCACAGAGCTATAGCTGGCTCTGACCACAGGTACACAGATGGCCACTCCTAGATCCTTCAACTGCAGAGTGGACCTGGGAGAAGCACTGCCCTTGGGGAACTTCTTGTTGGCTTCGAACAGTGGAGCTCTAAGAGACACCCTGCCCCAGCCAGGTGAGAAGCCACCCCCACGGGCTGGTAGGTGAAGAGACCGGCAGGGGAGCTGTGCTTGCTTTGAAGCAGTGCTGCTTGCCCCGACCGCTTCAGCAGGCTGAACTGCAGAGTCCTTTATCTCAAGATTCAGCTTCATCACCGGCATTCTCATCTTCATCCACTTCACTCTTCTCTTTGAGCATCTTCAGGCACTTACTCGCTAAAATCTTCTTTGGTAATATATCTTAAAAACAGAAAGCCTACGTTACCAGTGGTTATGATGGAGCACAACTGCATCAAGGAAAAGTTCAAAATGAACAGCTTCCCACGTTGACTTCTAGACTAGGTTCCAAAGAAGACCAAGTTTAGGTGGCACTCCTGGGTGAACTATCCCGGAACCCAAGGTGACCTAAGGCTAAGATGGAGGACGGCAGGAGTTTGTCTGCTGCAGGGCTATGGAGTCGGCCCTCGGGCAGCCCTGAAGATAGGTTGTGAAGGGCTGGCTGTCAGGCTCGACCAGCCACCAGCCACTCTGAGGCTTGTTGCCTGCCAATATTCTTATCATCCATGTTACAAAATATTATCAAGTAAAAGTAATAATTACCAAACCATAATCAAGCTGAAGGAAAACGGGAAGCATCCCCTGAGGGAAGACAGCAAATGTCTAGGGCCTACAGGCCGGGGAGGGAAGACAGCAGACTTCCAAGCACTTTTACCCAGAATGCGACAAAGTACCTGTGAGAAACTGAAACGTTTCTGATTCCTCGGCAGTATTTGACAGATCACTGTAGGTCAGAGACTTTTTTTCTTTTCCACTGCCATGTCTGTAGGAGTAGGTGGCCAAATACTGAACAAAGAGTTCCTAAAACGAGACCAAGAAGAAAAACTTCTCGTGGAACTTACATTTTTAAGCAATTTCCAAGTTTAGCTGACTGCAAATCATGCTGCTTTCTCAGATTTAACGACAGGAAATGGGGGGCAAGCCAGGAAGGGAGGGCATAAGGTCACAGAGAGTGGAAGGTCCTGTCACCGTGGGAACCAGCATTCCCCAGGGGTGGCGTTAGAGTTCTAAGGCATGAGAAATATTTGAACTCGACTAAACGGTAACTCAGAAATGCGTAATGTCCATTCTCTACTCTGAGAACAAGAGAGCACGTACACCTTCCCCCGGGCGCCCTGCTGCAGCCTCTGACCCCTCTGGAAGCTAACTCTCCAGTCTACCTGGCCGGGGCCTGGTCTAAGCCTCCGTGCAGGTTTTCATCTGTGATTTAACCCAGCTAGTTCAATCAGCAGGGTGCCTAGTGCTAAGGAGCTGCACTGCCAACCCGAAGGCTCGGGGTTCAAATCGACAAGCTGCTCCACAGCAGATGCGCCATCGCCCATCAGTTTTTTGCAACTTGAACGAACGCGTGCGGGAGGGTCAGCTACGGGTTAGCAACAACTGCTCAAAGGGACCTGAAGATCCTACTGTCCTACTTAACATAACAGAAAACAACTGCACAGGCAGAGGGGTTCTGACGTGGACCCTGGGGACGCACAAAGCGGGCAGTGCGCAGTGGACCAGGCCTGCATGTCCGAAAGGTCCCCGGGCAGCGATGACGGGGGAGCACAAGCTGGGATGACGTCAATGCAGGCTGGGGGTCTGCAGGGGAATGGGGAGCAGGCGCCGAAGGCCCCGCCCCCGTGGACTCCCCGTGATGCCATGCTCGGCCCCTCTCCAGCCGTCGGCAGCCACGGCATTGGCCGGAACATGCCGTCCACAATAAGGAATGAGGTCTCGGAGAGGGGTGCTGGCCCCGAGACCACTAGGCAGGTGGACGCGCGTGGGAAAAACGCACGTCGTAAGGGCTGGGCGTGCTGGGCCCAGGACGTGAGGGGCGGGGCGTGCAGGACGGAAGACGCAGGACGCGTGGGGCGGGGCGTGCAGGACCGAGGACGCAGGACGCGAGGGGCGGGGCGTATAGGACCGAGGACGCAAGAGGCGGGGCGTGCAGAACGTGAGGGGCGGGGCGTGCAGGACGAAAGACGCAGGACGTGGGGCGGGGCGCCGCGCAGCAGACGCGCAAGGTAAGGCGGGAGTCGCCGGCTCGAGGGGTGGGGCCGCGCGCGGAACTGTTTTACGAGGAAGGCGGAGGGGGGACCGCTCGGTATCAGAGCCAGAGAACGCGCCGCCTCGTGACAATGAGCTGGAGCTAAACAGGAAGGGGGGCGGGCTGCGCAGGGAGGGCGGGGCGGGAAGACGCTAAACCGGAGAGCCGTGCACGCGGGCGAGGCGGGGTGCCGCGTGCGCCTGCGCACTACAGCGGCCGTGCGTGGGCCGAAGGGGACTGGGCAGTGTGGCGCCAGCCCAGCGGGGCGGGGCGGGACGGTCGCGATGTGGCCTCTCCCCCAGCCCTTACTCCTCCCCCCACGCACCCTGACTCACCGTGGCCTTGGCTGTGAGCATCAGCGCCTCCTGGTTGATGCTGGACACCTCGGGGGAGCTCTTCATGATGACCCGGATGCGGGACAGGGGCAGCGACACCAGCCGCTGCTCCCCGCCCTTCTCTTTGCCCACGATCACGTCTGCCATCCCTCCACCCTGGCCCACGGTCGGCACCCGCCGCAGGTCCAACCGCCAGCACGCTGCCGCCGACTCCCGCCGCGACGGGCCCGGCAGACAAAGTTGTTGCCCGGGCGGCTGCGCCCCGCTGCCTCGTGGGAGTTGTGTGGTCGCGAGCCTTCTCGGCGGGACTTCCAGCCCCATCATGCTCTGCGGCTCGTGAGCTGCTGCGCCTGCGCGCGAGCCGTGCGTCACTGGTGCGCGTCGCTGGTGGGCGTGGTAGCCGGCACGTCATGACGCCGGGCTCGTGACGTGCGGTGGGCGGGGCGTGTCTGCCCCCTGTTTGCAGATTGCGGGGAATGAGCGTGGTCGCGCCCGCCCTGCCCTCCTTTAGGGGAGCCCCTCGGGTCAGCGCCACGCAGCCTTTAAAAAGCAAAATATATAAAATGTCATCTTTATTTTGCATACTTTAATTTCAGGACAAAATAAACAAAACACAATACACAACATCCAACCTTATTCTTGAGGAAGGGGGTGAGATCAGAGGCCCTTCCTGCCTTACAGACAGGAAAGAAAAACACTAGCTGTCAGTAAAGAGCGAGATGAGAGAGGACAGCTCCAGGCTGCTGTGGGAGCCTCAGGGTTGCTGGGGGGTAGGGGCCCGTTACTGTAAGAGCTTCTGATCGACTTCCGTGTGAGATGCAGCCTCATCACCCTCAGATGGGGAGGTCTCATCAGGAACAGCAGCCCTGGGTTCCTCAACTGTCACCTCATCATCAGTGCCTAAGCTGATCGTGATCTTGGGGGGTTAGATGTGGTTGGAGTGAGTCTGGGATCCTCAGGGGAGGAGCCAAAAGAGAGGAGTGCGGTTTCCAACAATAGCAGCACCAAGTCCTTAACAGCTCTTTTCATTTTTTAAAAAGAAAAATTTAAGTTTACAGAGACTTTGGATTTCCATGCACTCATTGTTGCGCTTTCCTCCCTGTCCACCCCTCCCCCCAGTTCGTTTTTCTCTGGGAAAAAAAAAAAATTGATTGTTACACAATTCTCTGCCGCTTCCACTGGACTATGCAGCTCTCATTCTGGGCTCTTGTGATGACAATAGTACATATATTCCTCCTAAACAGTGGCGTTGTGCAGTATTTGTCCTGACAGCTCTCTCATTCTTGTCTGCCTCAGCTTTCTGTCTGTGCCTCAACTATCAGATACTTGGGGTTGGTCTCCAAGGTGCTCCCGCCCCTCCCCCAGCATGTAGCCCATTATTGTCCAGTTGTCCTAAAGCACCTGTGCTTTCATGATCAGCTCCACATCAGTGGCCAGCCATATGTGCTAGTCACAGTGCAGCAGGGGGAAGGTACAAGCCTATTGGAAATTGTCACCTTCTCAACCTTCTTATCCAAAATTTCCTCATGAGAGGTCCTCAAGCTGGCCTTACTCACACCCATTTTCTTTTTCTCCTCTTCATCCCCTTGTAGTTCTAGGCCCGCCTTGGAGGCAGAACCCAGGCTCTTCCATCAGACTCCTTGAGCTGTTGCACACAGTACTCATCGATATTTTCAGTCCTGCTTGTGCACTCATTCCACAAAAGCAGAGCTGGCCACCTGCTCTTTACTCTTACCAGTGGTGTAATAGATGGACTTCTGGGTCTACTTCATGCGAGACACATTCTGAGAGCGACATCATCTCATTTCCAGACTGAAAAGTGTGATAGTGAAGTAGCTTAGAAAAGTGATGCTGGTTAGTAGAGTCCTCATGGATTCCAAGCTCCAGGTTTTTAGAGAATGCTTCATAGACTTTCCTGTAGAAGTTTCTTTCCGCCAACTCAGAGAAGAGCTCAAGGCACTTCTTGTTGATGATTTAGCAGATATGACCTTCAAGATTTTGCTTTTCTGCAACATTTCTTGACAAGTATTGAGGGGCAGAGCCTCAGAGTCAACTACACCATGGGGATGAAGTTCACGCACTGTGGTAGCAACTCATCACAGTTGTCCATGATGAACATATGGTGAACATAAAGTTTAATGTTGTTCTTGTTCTCAGAGGGATCCCAGTCAGGAATAAATAGCAGTGCTCTGAATTCCAGCTGACCTTCTACTGAGAAGTGCTTGACCGCTGAGTGGTCTTCCCAGTCATTAGGACGGCTCTTGTAGAACTCTCCATATTCCTCCTGCGTGGTGTCATCAGGATTTCTGGTCCAAATGGGCTTAGTCTTGTTGAATACCTCCTGATAAATGTATTTCTCCGTAATTTTTTCTTTTCTTTTTTTTTTCCTTTACTGTCATCCTCCTCCTCATCTGAATGCACATATTCCGTCTTGGTCTTCTCTTCATCAGCCTTATCTTCTTCTTTCTCACTTTTCTGCTTCATCATCACGGATTTCTCTCTTTCTTTCCCAAGTAAAGGGTGATGGGTTAGCCTAGGAACTGTGAGTGCTTCTTCACTGCTTCTTTGACTCATCTTTCTTCTAAGTACTCTGTTCTTTAAGGTGCAGGAACACTTTAGTACCCTGACCGGTGGGCTCACCATGGTCAGCATGAACTGTAAAGGAACCCCCAGCTTAAGACTCTGAGGCGTACTGCTCAGCAGCATTGTGTGTTGTGATTACTACCAATTTCTCTGCCACCAAATGTGCAGAATAAAAGCCAACACCAAACTGACTGATCATGGAGATGTCTGCACCGGCCTGCAGAGCCTCCATAAACGCTCTAGTAGCAGACTTCGCAACTGTTTCCCAAATTATGAGATCAGCCTTGGCCATGCCAATTCCTGTGTCCACAGGAGTCAAAGTGTGCTCCTGGGGGTTGGGGATAATGTCGATTTTAGGCTCTTTACCAGTGTCCAACTTGGGTCTGTCAGGCTCTCATAGTGAATCTTGTCCAGTGCATCAAAAGCATTTGACATCAACTCTCTAAGGAAAATTTCCTTTTGCACTAGAACATACTGATGACAAGTGACATAAATTGGTCAATCTCTGCCTGAAAGGCAGAGGTGTCCATCACCTCTTCTCTGTAGTGCACTTCCTCCAGAGAGGTGAGGGCAGGATCTTGGGCCAGGCTGCACAAGGCTCACCAGCTACACGGGGGTGACTCGAGCGAACTAAACTTTCTTGAGGCTTACGTTCTGAGTGGAAAGGGGGGGAGAAGTAAAAGGAAAGGGGAAAAGTACATCATATGTTGTGGCTACTGTCCTCAACTTGACAATGACTGAGGGTAACAGAGGACGAATCGATGCCTTTGGATTATGATGCTGGAGAAGTCCTGAACATACCATTGACTGCCAAGAAAGCAAATAGGTCTGTCTTGGAGAGGGTGAAATTAAGTCTTTCCTTGGAGGCTAGGATTTTGAAGTTCTGTCTCACATACTTTGGGCACGTGGCCAGTAGAGACCAGTTCTTGGAGAAGGATACTATGCTTGGAAGGGTGGAGGGCCAGCATGGGAGAAGGAGACCCCAGATGAGATGCATTGATAGAGTAACTGGAGCAATGGGGGTCAGTTTGTTGGAATGAGTGAGACTGGCTCAGGACTAGGCAGGCTTCAGAGCTGCTGAACTAGGGTCGTTAGGCGTCACAGACTACTTGATGGCACATAACAACAAGTGTCCTTGAGCCGATTACTACTCAGTGATGTGGATTGACACTACAAACTACAAAAGGCTCAAGCAGGACAGATCATGGCGATGACGATAAGGCAAAATTCTGATCTGTGTTCATAAAATCACTAGGAATTGTCAGCTTGGTGGCACCTAACAACATATATGAAGTGAACTTCTAAAATCTGCCTCAGCAAGGGAGTAATTGTAGGCTAGGTTAAGGGCTTGGAGAAAATCTTATGTTTACTAAACACCTTTGGTCCAACCAACAGATGCACCCCTGCATGTGCTCACCAGATGGTGCCAAGAGATCTGGAGGGCAGCTACCTGAGCAACTGAATGAAGAGGTCCATAGTTTTCCCATTCCCCCCACCCCCCAAAAAAGATCCAACAGAATGTGGAAATTATAGAACAATATCCTATGCAAGCAAAATACTGCTGAAGAGTAACAAAGCTCTTAGTCCTGCCAATTACGACTCTCCCCTGCTATCCAACAAATGTGGCCAAGGTTCCTAGCTGTGGTTCCATGGAGCAGTAGTCCCCAGGTCAGCTCCGTCTCATGTTGGTCTCTGGTTCTCTGCTGTTCTCTTGTAGGTCTGCCTGACAGCACAAGAATTTCTGGCCCTCAAGGGCCTGCTGCATTCTCTACTGCTTTGCTGGTGATGAAATTCTCAAATTTTGACATTCTGTTCAGTTTATAATACACCCTATTCGCATATTCCCAGCCAACCATATGGCAAAGTCAAAGTCAATGATTAGGAAGGACATTTTGAACAATAAACTCTTGTACTACAGTATCCTTTCTCTTATTTTAATCTGTATGCCAAGCAAATCATTCCAGAAGCTGGACTTCATAAAGGAGAATGTGGCATCAGGAATGGAGGAAGGCATATCAACAAGCTGTGTAGCACAGGTGACACAGTCTTGCTTGTTGAAAGTAAAGAAGACTTGAAGCACTTTCTGCAAAAGATGGAGGCTTCAATATGGATTACATCTCAACATCTAGAAAACAAAAATACTCCTGGGCCATGATAGAGAAAAGATTGAAGTTGTGAACAATTTCATTACTTGAGTCTACAGTCAACCCCTGTGGTAGCAGCAGTCAAGAAGTCAAAGGATGAGTTGTATTGAGGAAATTGGCTTTTGAGGACCTCTCTAGAGTACTGAAGAGCAGTCATGTCAGTTTAAAGACTAAGGTGTGCCTGACCCAAGCCATGATGTTTTCAGTTACTCGCTGTGCATCTGAAAGTTGGGCAGCTCTGTCCAACTTTGATACCTTTGAGTTGTGGTGCTGGAGAAGAATATTGACTATCCATAGACTGCCAAGAGAACAAATAGATCTGTCCTGGAGAAGGTGAAACCAAGGAGACAAGGATGATGAAACTCCATTTCACACAATTTGGTCATGTTAGGAGAGGCTAGTCCTTGGAAAAGGACATTA